TACTTGGAAGGTTGGTAAGACGTGACCCCTCTTTGGCAACCCATCAAAAACTGCTGTCCTGCTAAAGACATCAGATTTATTTTAATTTTAAATGAACAAAATATTCAATATGCACACCATAATTGTCACCCATCTTGGCCAAAAATGCAGTCCTTTCCTCTTCAGGCTGCCTGTTCCTCTCTTAGTCATTCGACTCAGTAGGTGGCGCTGTCGTGAAAAATAAGGGTCCTAAAAATGCAGTCCTGATTCTGCTTGAGACTTTTTTGAATTCATCATGCATGTGGACTTCAAATTTGATGTTGCTTTTTCTGTGTGGACGTGCTTCTGCAGGTTTTTGACTGTATTTATTGTTTTGTCGGCTCTGCCAGGCTGTTATTAAATCTTTTACTGAGTGCTGTGTTAGCTTTTACCCATCCACAGCACGATATCTGACTACTCATCTGAAAAAAAAAAAACGAGACAGCTGACTGATAAAAAAACATAACTTTATATTTTATTATTCACTTATAAATTATATACTCACATACTTTTATGTGCACTGTTAATAGCTCACAACCTGCCTGCCGTGAGCTATTCCTTCCCACCGTTATGAGCATGAATAAATGATACTGATACATACAGTAATTCATTCGCTGGTGCACAACGTGCAGCAGCTATAGGGGGTATTTGTATCATTATACAAACATAGAAACAAGGAAAGTTCATAAAATATGGCACTTAAGCACACGAGTAGAATAGTTTATGACAGATCCTCTGGTCCACTCCTCACTAGTGTCCAATGATGAAGTGAGAAGTTGTGATGTTTTGCTGCAGAATTTTTTTTCTGGCGTCCAAAGACCAACTAAATATTTATGCAGTTGGCAACAATTCTGCCAGAAGGGGAACAAGAATATGAGATCAGGGGTACGCTGACATCCTGACTCCTCCTGTTGGAGTAAAATTGTACTGGGAAGTAGACTTTTTCAAACAATGCCATTGACAGATCAGTGTCAGATGATATCTATGGGGTCAGGCCAAGAAGGCAAAGCTCTTAACAGGTAAAAAGGCACTTGTCAGAGGGTAGAGTTCTGCTGCATTTGCAATAAAAAACACAAACCTGCTGTTACAAATTGCAAATGATGGATGTTCACTGAGATGGCCTCATTTGAAACTGCAATGCATGGTATCAGGCAGAGAGAGCAACTTTAAATCTGCCTCATCGTCACACAGTATGTTCAAATCCTGATGAAAAACAAATCCTCGTTCAGTTTTAGGTCTGCTGTGAGTTTCTCCAGATTATTTGTGTCTGTCACTCAAACAACTTGTAGATATGTTGATTTGAAATCTGTTCCGAGGGCGTTTTTGGCGTTGCATTTGTAAATACCAGAGTTCATGAGCACAGGATTCTGTATGATCAGACTGCCCTCCTCCGTCATATGAATGCCCCCCTGCACTGTGTACCGGCTATGGGGCACCAGTGTGGTTCGTCCGGGTAACGTCCATGAAATGTCTGGCTTAGGAATGCCAGTTGCGTCGCACTTTAACGTCACCGGGGATCCCCGGTCGACTCTGGTGATGGATGCCAGCGTGCTGGTGATTCGCGGAGGGAACACCATCACTGCGACTGGGTAGGATAGTGTCGACAAACCAAACGAGTTGGAGGCTTTACAGACGTATGTTCCTTTGTCAAATGTGGCGACCTGCCTGAGCTGGAGGGTCCCATTGGTGAGGAAAGATAGACGACCAACGGTTTGAGGTTTGTCCAAAACAACTCCATTGGGTAGAGTCCATGTGATTGATGCCTGTGGCCAGCCGTCCACAGTGCAGGGCAAGTTGAGATTGAGGCCGTAAGTGATCTTCATCCCACCTGGAAAAGTAAATTATAATAGTAAGTTGATTTTATATCAACATGACAGATTTAACAAACAGAACAAGTGCATCAGTATATACAGATTATGCATTGATTCATCATATGCTTTTAGTTTTATCCATTTGGGTCTGACTCTGTTTTTTGTAATTCATTTGGGCAGAACACCTGTGAACACAGACATCATACCCGGATACGGACCAAAACTACTATACTGAGACCCATTAAAGAAAGCGGTCTAAGTCCAGCTACAAACAAATTCTGGAGTGGTTCAATTGATGTGGGGACATAATTTGATATGGGTCTCATCAAACTAAACAGCTCCTGTAGCTGGTGCTTTTTGCATACTGGAATGTGGATTAGCAAACCAGTAGCTAGCAGCTATCCAAGACAACAAAGTATGCTACTTCCCTTATGTTTAGACCAGTTTAGACCATTTTGCTTTCACCCCTGATATATCTAACCAAAAAGTCATTCTGACATAACTTCACTTTTGATACATTCTGAGAAGGTTCTTCCAAGGTCCTACAATGTTCTTAGCAGTAAGTTGTTTTTAGTTTCCAGAATGCTCTTCTTAAAGGCAGGATAACATTTTCCAAAGACGTCCTAAAGTGTGTGGTAATAACATTGTTGGATCAATATGCTCAAATGTTTCTGATACATTTTTGAAATGTTGATTTGTTTTAATGAAACATTGTGGGAATGTTTTATTGAAGAATTGCAGGTTAAATATTTTTCTTTACACTCTATGAATGTTGCATTGAAAACATCCTTCCTTTCATATCATGCAACATTGTGGAACATGGCAGGATCTTTTTTATAGAAGACATGTATTCCTCCAAACATTGTCAGAATATTGCAGGCAAAATGTTCCACCCTTATTAATAAATCACGTTACAGGAACGTTTTATAAAAAGTCATCTAAGCCCTTGAGAATGTCTGGAAAACGTTTTTTTTTTTCAATGTTGCGAATATTCAGTATCCTCCAAACATCTACTGATTGTTCCGTCTTAGTTAACTTTTAACCTCATAGGAACATTATTGTAAGTGTTAAATATCCTTAAAACATTCTTTAAACATTAGATTAAAACATTATTAGAGGATCTAGTTAATGTCAGCCAATGTTGTGGGAATGCTCATGCCAGCTCGGTTTTCTTACTTTTTTTTGTTTTTGTTTCACTGTGAAATGAAACCAAACCAAACCAGGGGTAAATGCAAAAAACAACTAATCCACTTATTCAGCCACAGTATAGACCAAGAAGATTTCTGCTTCATTATTATAAAAGACAAAAACATACCTGTAGAGCCTCTGATCATTGGCTTTCTGCCTGCCTCCAGGGCATAACGTTTCTCCGCTTGTCCTGCCACATTTTTGGCAAGGCACCGATACACTCCCTTATCAGTTGCAACTGGTTGTGAGATCTGTAGAGTTCCATTACTTCGATGATGAATAAAGCGTTGGAGTCTAACACCAGGCGCTAACATCGTCCCATTGGGCAGCACCCATGAAAACTCTGGGTTTGGTTTACCCCGAGCAAGGCACTCAAGGGTCAGTTCCCCACCGTCTTGCTTTATTGGTAAGATTTCAATGTTGGGAACGGCAAAGCTGGGTTTCTCGGCTAGTGATGCCACCTCTAATTCAACCAAAAGAGAGGCTTCACCCAGATGGTTCTTAGCAAGACACGTGTACCTCCCTTCATCTGTTTTCCTCACCCCCCTCAGCTCCAAGCTCCCATTCCGGTGGACTTGGAAGCGACCTCCGAGGTAGGGTGTTGTCAGCGAGTGGCCATAAGGGGTAACCCACCAGACTCTTGGTTCGGGTTTGCCTTCCACTCTGCAATCCAGAAGTGCTGTTTGGTAGGAAACACCCAAAGCCTTTGTAGTGCTCTTCCCTTTCATACCATTAATGAAGGGTTCCTGGGGTTCAGCTTCAACTTTCATGTTTTTGATATCATCACCAGCAGAATTTCGTGCCACGCAGGCATATTTCCCTTCATCAGCCAAGGTCACTTTCTTCACAACTAACATTCCTCCATCCATAATCTGGAATTTGTCCGATGACACTGCTATCACATCTTTTCTTGGTGAGATCCACATGATCCTTGGTGCAGGTTCACCTGTTGCCTGACAGCTCAGTTTAGCTGATTCTCCCAGTTTTACAGTCACCAGCGACTGTGTTTTTAATCTAATTTTTGGAGCGTTTGGTCCCACTATGACGCTCACTTTTCTTTCATCTTTGCCCAGTTTGTTCTTGGCGTAACAAGTGTAGTCACCCTCATCCTTTTTGCCCATCTGCTGGAGCAGTAAAGTTCCATTGCCAAAGATGACATAGCGGCGGTTGCGAAGGCCGCTGTCATCTGATTGAAGGGCGTTGTTGATTAAAGTTCCATCTGGGAGACTCCAGGAAACTTCTGGATCAGGAAGGCCGGTTGCAACACAGTCCACCTGAGTGAGTGGAAGAGAGACAGGTGCATTAATGAATCCAGGTGTTATTTTCAAGTGACGATCAATGTTTTAGTTTACCACTAGGTTAGGAACACTCATGGTCATGGTTAAAAGAAACGGGAAGCCAACAACAGTCTGAAGTTTTGCTTGACTTCTTAATCCACCCTGAGAAATGACTCAAGAGTCATAACTTGTCAAAAGAAACAACTGATCTTGTTTTTTTGTTTTTTTTCTTCCTAAAAGCACTGACTTAATTAGGCAACAAAATACACCAGTAAACATGGGGGACTTGGAAAATTAGTACGGTTTTACCAGTTATGTTTAGTCTGGTTTGTTCTGCCACAAACCAACTTTGAACAAGTACCAAATGCAGGAACATACCTGGAAATTTTCTCCAAAGGTGACCCTGGTTTGTGCAGTTCTCACATGTTCGATTCTGGGAGGAGTCATCAACACCTCCACCTGTTAAAGCAAATACAAAAACAACGTGTCGTAAAAATTCTAGGTTTTGCATGTCTCTTCAAATCTTTAGATTAGGTAGGTTTGGTGTGTGGCGTCAAATTAGCTGCAGACTTTTAATTAAGGATGCACAATGATATCAGCATCATTATCGGAATCAACCAATAATAGCTTGAAAATAAAATTCTGCCACTTGCCCAAAATGAACATTGACACTTTGTTAATATCAAGCCTGACAGGCATTATCTAAATTTTTTGAAAGTATGACATATAGGTTGAAATTGTTTTTCTTATTTTGCTCAGTGACTCTGTATCACCAGCATATATACAACAAAATTAAAATCACATTCTTCTGTGTGTGACTGACCTAATCTTTGATTCTTGAAAGAAGGGGCAGAAATATTATAATTCATTTGTTAAAAGTCAATAACAAGACAGCAAATCCCAATGAACTGCTCTCAGATAGAAATTCAGCTCGGGCTACCTGAAAATAGTTGGCAGCAAAATGAACCTGCCTTAAGTCATTATCTGTTATCTGTTCATACCTGGAAGAGCTCCATGTCCTCTCCATTGGGTCGCTGAAAGACACAGAGATAATTTCCACCATCCAGCTCTGTTAGCTGAAGAATCCTCAGAGTCCCATTACGGAAAACTTTAATTGGTCTCTCCGGGCTGGAGACAGATGGAGGAGAGGCATGAGGTTGATATTAAAGCAGTAAGTCAAGTTTAACTGCACCTTAAGATTTTTAATGTATTTATGATTTTGTTAGTATTGGAGAGTTTCATGGAGTCACAGAAGGGGATGTTTCAGTCACCTGTATCGATGCTCCAGGACGGTTTTGGAGGGTAGTTGCCAGGTAGTTCCTCTTTTGGATCCGGTAGACTCTGGGCAGTGAAGGTAGACAGCAGAACCGTACATAGCTGAGACAGTGTGCTGACGTGATGGAGTAGCGTGGCGGTGGGTTGGAGGGATGGGAAGAGGAGGTGGAGGAGGCTGATGGGAGAAGAAGGATGGCTCTGCTCTCACCTCCAGCTGGATTGTTCTTTTGGCAATTCCCACTGCGTTTGTGGCCAAACACTCATACCTGTAAAGATTGATGGGAGCTTGGTGGCTTTTAAACAGCTTGACTTCTTTTAGTTGAAATATAAATCTGCATTGTTTGGAGCAGAAATGTTTATCATGTCCATATGGCAATGTGGGTTAATAGGCACTAAAATCTAAAAGATCAGCTTTACTTTACAGGCTGCTAACAACTGCACGTCCTTAAGACATCACCTTAAGACTATAAGAAATGCCCATTGCATACCTGCCACCATCCGAGGGCAGAACGTTCTTCACAAACAGTGTCCCGTTGGGGAAAACAAAGAGCCTGCGTCCCAGAAATTGTGATGGTTTCACATGTACGCCTGCTGGGACCATCCACTTTAAAGCAGGCACTGGTTCACCCTTCACAGAGCAGTGAACGTACACACTCCTGCCTGGGTTAGATGGGATTTTATTACTTCAGAGGGATTTTTGTAATATCGTAAAGTGTGTTTGTTTGAATGAGTTTGTATTTGTGTGTCATACCTGGTTGAATGATCACAGTATCCGCTGCTCCTTCGCCTATGCTTGGAGGCAGAGCTGCCACGTGGAGATGATAAGTGATTGTATCTGCACCTGCTGCATTGCTCGCAATACATTTATAGTCCCCTTTGCTGGAAAAATTGGCAGAATGAATTTGCAGGGTTCCATTTTGGAGCAGAGACATTGGAGAGAGGAGAGAATAAACAGTGCCGGCTTCACGAACAAACATCCTGTCTGGAAGAATCCATGAAATCTGAGCTGGTGGTTTTCCAGAGGCAAGACAGTCAAGAGTTACACTTTTCCCGAGGTACACTGCTAACTCTGTGGACTTGGGTGGTTGGATCTTCGGTGCCTCGGTCTGGACAGCTAAGGTGATGACCATTCGATCTGATCCGAACCTGTTCTGGGCCGTGCAGAGGTATTGTCCGCGATCCTGAAGCTGGATGTTTTTGATAACAAAAGTCCCATTTTTGAAGACTTCAAAGCGGGGACCATGCTTCGTGTTAGCTGGGATGGTGGCACCTGAGGAGAGAGCAGAGAGGATATCAATAAGGAGAGATTTATTTGAATAGCTCAATAGTAATTAAAAAGAAACACATAATGGCAGACCTATTCTGTTCCAGGGCTAATAACATGAATGAGGGGAATGCATGTACAGACATCATCAGGGATTACTTCATTTTTCAACACTGTAATTACCAACATATATCTTGTGCACACCAGTCTCTCTCTCCTTCTTTTTCTTTTCATCTCTGTCTCTTACCTGTGGAGACTTTGGTCCATGCGATGTTGGACTCAGGATTCCCTAATGCTTTGCAGGGCAGGAACACATCACTCTCTGCCAGCACTGACACACTCGCTGTGGCAACTGTGGTGATTCGGGGTTTTGCACCACCACCTCCTGCTCCCAACAGCCATGGGAATGGAGGTGCAGCTGTAGGACGCCGGGAGCTGATCCGTCCTGCTGCAAAATTGGGCACAGCAAACAATCCAATGATTCATTCATGAACTACTTTTTTTTAATATTCCAGCATGCAAAGCCCATATCATTATAGCATACCTCCAACAGGCCACCGACCTCCATACTGAACCCCAGGGGTGGTGGGACGGTGAGGAAGAAGGGTCGGGAAGAAACTAGAAAATGATGATGATGAAGGCTTAGCTGGGTTTGGGGGTCGTAAGGTGTAAGTGTAAGAAGCAGTGGGTGCTGGTGGTTTGGAGGTGTAAGGTCTATGTATGGACGGAGGGTTGGGTTTAGGTGTGATGGGTGGTGGAGGGTTATAGTAGCTTGTGCGAGGTTTGGGTGTCACCATCCTCCCGAGTTGAGCGATGCGATCGAGCTGCGCCTGGAAAAAGCCAAATTAAACATATATGGACGAATGAACAACACTCAGAAGGAGAAGACAAAAAATCCTTGTCATACAGAGTACGAGCTGCAGCTGTTAATCTGTACTTGCTATTTACTTTAATATGTACTAACTTTGTCTGTGTTTGACTGTTGTTGTTGGGCATGTAGTGTACAGTCTGTTTTTTGGAAATCTTTTCTTTCCTGCTTGCCTGTGGAAATTAGGTGAAATACAATCGAAAGAATGAACTATATGCTAAATGTAAAATTCAAAAGATCTACGTGCTATGGGGTTGAGTGATACAGATCTGTAGGTTCATCACAGAAGAACGCTTTTCATATTACACTCAGTTATTGTTAATCTGAATAATTTAGGAACATCATATTAAACCATAGGATTTAAATCCAACATTTGTAATAGACAACAAAACAAAAGCTATACATTTTGGATCTTTTTGAAAAGCACTGTACAAAGCATGGTACACAGTTAGATAGTAGAGGTGATGTAATGATTCATGCACACCCTGAAATCCACATTATACCTGTCTGTATCTGTTCCTCAGCCTTATCAGAAAGAGTTGATCCCTAGTTTGCGTCCGGCCATCCACATGATGATTTTGATGATGATGATGTGACGGATGGCTGTTGGACGGGGTAAATCTTGAGTTTCCTGCTCTAGAAACAGTTGGTGTTGGTTTGACTGTTTCAGCTGTGATCTCTGGTCGGTTGGTGACAAATGAGCCGTGAGCCCATGGGTGAGGAAGAGGCCAGGGTCGATGGGTTGCTGCAGGACGAGATCCAGGACCTAAAGGGATCGCAAGTCCGTAAATGAAGCATATATCCATGCATAGTGACATGTCTGAATATGGCATCAACTCAGTACTGGCAAGTCAAATCAATAAAATAGCAAGGAAATCATGACTCAGCAGCTTTATTTACCTTGCCTTGGATGAGGAAATGTCTTCTGACCTGGCCATGACGGGTAGCTGGGATAGTAATGATGAGGATTATAGTGTGAAGACCAGCGGGAGGTTGGAGGGACTCTGGGAGGACTCTGTCTGCCTGGGTTCACCTCAACCTGTCGTCCTGTGTTTCTGTCTTGGTTTGTGTTTGTTATCTTGGAAGTAGTAGTTTGTCCTCCTCCCTGGTTGGTCTGATGGAGCCAGGGGTGAAGAGGCTCCATTATGGGGAAACTGTGGGTGTCAGGCTTTGCAGTTGGCTTGTTTAACACCCTGTCTTCTCTATGTGGGACTTCCTCTTTTGTTCTGCCGCTTGTTGAATCTGATGTGAAGACCTTGGACGATGAAGTCATTGTACGTGTCGGTGTATTGTTTTCTGATGACGGTCTAGTGTTAGGTCTTGGCCTATTCTGTGTTGTTAACCGGACGCTATCTCGTGTACTGTAACGCTGTGTAACAGACTCAGTTTCTGATTTACCATTGTCTCTTTTACTGTCTTCTGTTGCTGTTATATCCTCTCTCTCATTGCTGGCCTTTCCTTCAGTTTTTTTCACATCTACCCTCTTCGTCTCAGGTTTCTGTGGGTTTACGGTGTCTTTATTCTTTTCTTCAAGAGTCTGTGAAGTTGGATTTTCTAGTTTTGGGGTGACAATCGTGTTTGGATTTGGTAAATTATGTCTACCTGCAGAGATATCTACTGTGTGATCTTTAACGGATGGAAATTGGTTAGTGCTACTGTCACGATCATGAGTGTTATGTAGGGTTTCGCTGGTTAGATCTTCATTCTCATCCAAACTCTCACCATTCTTGTCATTATATTCTTCATAGTAATCGCCTTCATCTTCCTCTGTCTGATACTCAGCAGATAAGGTTTCAGGATTCTCCGCTGTAGTTGGTACAGGTGTAGTAGTAGTAGTAGTTGTAGTAGTAGTAGTGGTAGTTGTAGTTGTGGTTGTTGTTGGTGGTGTGGTTGTTGTTGTTGGTGGTGGTGTGGTTGTTGTTGTTGGGGGAACAGTTGTTTGGGGCTTGTTTGATTGACGGGAGAAGGGGTTTAGATGTGGATGGATTCGTCTCATTGGGGGTTTTCTACGTCTATAGGGTGGCCTTCTCCTGTTTGGGTGACCAGGTACAAAGTTTCTTCTTCCTTCTCCCGTATCCTTATTTTCTGACTGTTCAACTGTCTGAGGAGACTCTGTGATAGTTTCAGCTTTTTCTATGATCCCGCTGTCATGCTCCAGGGATGGTGGTGTAATTCTGGGATTTAGATGTAAGTTGTTAGCAGTAGTAGCAATTGTAGTGGCAATTGTAGTTGTTGGTTTGGATGTACTTGTTTGGACAGTGACGGTGCTGGGCTCTTCGAGCGACTGTTCTGTGGGCAGAGCAACACTTGGTTTTGCATTAGCTTTAGCCAAAATCTCTGCCCAACGATTGGGATCTAATTCCTTGACGGATTTATTGGGTTTTCTTTTTGAGTCTTTGATTCGTATCCTTTTTGAAAACCCATTCGGATTCCTTTGCTGTGTTCTTATCTTCTCAGGAAGCTGCGTAGCAAAAGGACGTATAATTTCCTGATAATCTCCCCCTGAACCTTCTCCTTCCTCCACACCAACTGGTAAGGCTGGCTGCTGTCTGTCAGTCTCTGCATTGGCTCTATCAGAAGGCTTTTCTCCTGTAACTTCCACCATGTGAGACAGCATGTCAACGCCGTACAAGTTGGAGGTCAAGCAGCTGTATTCCCCTACATCGTCTAGTGTCAGCTTCTTTACCACCAAAGTCCCATTTTCCATTACTTCTGCTCGTCTCGTCTGTTGTGTGGGGAGAAGAACCTGGTTTTTGGGTAGGTACCACATAGTTTGACTGGGCTGAACTGAGCTCACCTCACAAGGAAGAGAGAAAGAGCCGCCCTTTTTAACAGTAATTTTCTGACCGTTGAAAGCTGTGGGACTGAGTGAGCGTTCTTTGACGGTGAGTCTCAAAGGCATCAAGTCCACACCAGCTTTAGTTTTGACGATACAGTGGTAGAGTCCTGAGTCAGACAATGTGGCATTTAAAATCACAAGCTGCCCTGTTTCAGAAATTTCTATTTTACTGGTCGCTTCCTCTACAATGGACAGATCAGGAAGGATCCACTCCACTTTTAGCCCTGCATCAGAAGTTATAACTCTACACTCCAAATGAACCTTTGAACCCTCCAGAGCACTCTGAATTCGCCCCGGTTGCCCTCTGCGAATTAGTGCCCAGGATGAAGCGAAGTCGTTGTCATCCTCCTGCCCCCTGTGGCTGTTGATTTCCTTTGTGATCACAGTCGTGAAATCCATCACCAGTTTCTTCGTTGTTGTCTGCTGCCTGTTGAGCCTTAAAGTGACTCTGGGTTGAAGCAGCCATGAAGGTTGTGCTACCAAATACCCTTTTAATTCTGTGAAATATGGGGAGTTTTCATTTACAGCTTGGACATACTGATAGGTTACTCTGGTGTCATTTCCTCTCTGTTGACCTCTCTCTAAAATTGCAGGGCTCGCATAGTAATACGCGACCAACTGCCACAGATTTTGCAACTTCTCCCGATCAATCTCGCACTCAAGGTTGGTTACCAGTGATACATTGACGGATAACTCCCCAGGAGAACGTGGATTTACTGTCCACGTCATCGGCGAGCTGTCTTCAGGATGGCGCACATCACATGCAACGTGAGCATTATTTCCGTGGCTGTCCGAGAGAACGACAGTCAGGTGGCCTAAAGGTTTTTGAAAGTCCCGGGTGTACGGGAGGTCAGGCTCTGCTTCCGATTCAGCCCACACTGGATTGTCCCACTGTTTGAGGGGCGAGCGAAGAGCTGGTCGTTCGCAGATAAGTTTGTCTCTGGTCAAACTGAGCACTTGGGAACCATTTAAATGTTGAGGAGAGGAGCACTCGGGGCAAGTCTCACTGGAGCCACGTTCCTTCTTACACTTTATTACTCCTGGAAGAAAGTGGAGGAGAGAAGAAGAGATGGAAGTCAATTAAAGGGAATTAAAAGAAGGGGCAATGGAAAATAATAGCAGACATTTGCAAGGTATAATGAAAGACATGAAACAGCAAGACAGAGGGGGCAATGTGAGGGCAAGTGAGGAAAATGTAAAACATGAGAGTAAGAAAAGTGAAAAGCAAAAAAAATAATAAACATGATAGGGGCTGCAGACAACATTTTGAGGTTTAGGTTCAGTAAATATTCATACAACCAGTACAGTTCAGGCAGTCACAGACCCTTTTTCTCTGATGAAGCAGGCTATAAACATAGTGATGTATTATCAACTGTGCTGCTGAGATAAAACAGTTTGCATATGGGGCTGATTATAGATGACAAAGGAGGGTAATAAAAAGTAAACCATTTAGTCATTATGCTTGTTATGTATGAAACCCCAGAAGTCTAATTATATGTCTAAACTGTGGTTTCAAGGTGAAAATGTGATGGTGCTTATCTCACTACGCTGTGTCTTCTGGCATATAAAAAACACCATATGGACGCGTTCACGGAATTGATTTTCATTGGAGGAGGTCTTTTGCTCATTGTTTCATGGTTTTGGATTTCCCCGTTGAAGAACCAATAAAGCTTATCTTATCTTTAAAATCTAAATCTGTGTTGTTTTAGCTCACACCTCTTTGTTGGGGCTCCAGCAAGCAGCTGCTATCAGCAATCTTCTGACAAACCTACTGTAGGCTACTTGTCTACTTAGTGGACATAATGGACCATTTACCAGCTACAGACTCAGATGTTTTCCTCAGGAGTTGACCTAAAAGTACAATGAATACTTGACTATTCACTTGGAGGAGACAAACTATATTATAATTAATGCTAATAATAATTTGTGTTTGGAGGCACTGGTCTTTTAAGTTCTTTCTTTCTTATTACTTTAACTAATATCCACATTTACACAGGCATTTATCGCATTTGTTGCCTGCTTTCCATGCAACTTTTTGGTATCAGGAAATGCTGCCAGCTCTCTTAAAGTTTTATTATGAGTGTTCATTCAGGCGTCCTTACCGTCATGTGTGGAGCTCCACTCCACCAACCAGTGGAGCTGACAGTCACATGTCCAGGGGTTTCCATGCAGAGAGAGGAGCTCGAGCCTGGGAGCTGTCTTCAGTGCTGCAGCAGGGAGCTGCTCCAGCAGATTGTCTGATAAATGCAGGTGTCTGAGACAAAAACATGATATTTAAGGCTTTAAGGGGTCTCCAGGGCGACAGAGATGGGATATAGTGTTGAGTGCAAATTAACAATTATAGGTTAGCATTCTGGGTATAATGACTAAAGTTGGGTGTGTGAGTATGAGCTCTTCTCAAAGGTACACAAACTCCATTAACTCTATACTGACCACATTTCTCTAAGCAACAACCAATGTTTCAACTCTCCTCTTGATATTCTTGTTGAGATATACTTATTTCAGATTAAACACATTCAAATAGATCCTTCAAAAGTACATATTTGGGGACCTAAACTTAGCTTCAGTCATGGGATCAATATTCACAGTTTTCTGTTTTCTTACTTGAGCCCAGAGGTCCAAAAGCTTCCAAGCACCGACACTGTGATGAAGGTATGAGGGTGGATCTCTTTGAGAAGGTTCCCCTCCAGCTGCAGGAGTTTTAGGGAGGTCAGGCCGGAAAAGGAGTACGGCTCTATAAAGTCTATGAGGTTGTGGTCCAGATGGAGACGGACCAAACCAACGAGCCCCTCAAAGACGCCAGGACTCACTGATGTTAACTTGTTGTAACTCAGCTTCAGAATCTGTCAAAAAGAATTGAAAGAATAAGTTAAGCTCACATTTGCAGAACAATATCAAACAATGATTCAATTAGGAGGAAAAAAAAGTCTCAACTACATATACAACTTGCTTAAAATTGGGCTTAAGTATAATTAGATAACTGCAGGTTTGCCTCTGCCCACTTGACTATGTAACATAACACACAGTCTCGTTTTAATTCAGATATATTAGCATGGAGCTTTAGTCTGTTTAAAGTGCTAATTTAGTTTCTGATTGGAGCCATCTGGAACCAACAGGACTTTTTTAGTTAAGAAATCAAAGTGCAGCTAATTACCGGCTTAAATGTGGTTTGTGTAGCGGGAGACGGGATTTGGCTGTTTGTACAAACACACTGTACGCATTATGGTTCAGTACTTTTAGAAATGCTGTCACTCTTGTCATTTCCTTTGTGATCTGAGTCTCCAGAAGAAAATAAATGTCACACTTGGATGAGGAAGCATCACCCGACCTACAATATGGAATGCAGCAGTAAACTTGGCAATGCAATTTCATTTCCTCTTATGGCCTAATCAAGTTTGTTCAAAGTGCTCCAGCAGTGATTCTGAGGCAGATCTGAATAAAGCAAATGACGCGAACAAATATAAATGTGCAACATCGGTTACCACAAGTATTTAATCACTTTCTCTTTGCTTTCCTTTAGCTCGGATCTCTTCAAACTAAGGTCTCCCTTACTAAATGTAAGGGAAACCTGAGAATATTGCAGAATTAGGTCCAGTATTTAGAGGACTCATTTAAATCTGAGGTCAGTTTCAGGTCTCTCAGATTAATTTCAGTGGAAGTCCACCGTTCAGTAATGTGCAAAGTTCAACAAACAGCAAGTTCTTAATTAGAGGAAAGCTAAAACCAGAAGTTACACATAAAACGGCTCCATTTTTTCACAACATAGTAAAGAAAAACTACAAATCTGTTTGATTTTGCCGACACATTTAGAGTAATTAAGCATTAGTGCTATAGTCATGACATGTATGGACTCTACCTGTAGTGATCTCAGGCTGTAAAACGATCCAGGTTGGACCGTGCTAATGTCGTTGCCATGCAACATGAGCATTTCCAGTTGCCGTAACGACCTGAATTCTGACCCCTCCACCTCCGTCAGGCTGTTATAACTGTTGGAGAGAGAAAATAAACAGAACTGGTTAATGTGATGAAAGAGGAACAGAAGGTCATTAGAGTGGGTCAGAAAGATAGGGAGCTAAAATTAGTTAGAAGTCGGTGCTTGAAGTGAGCTTGGCCAATGTGACCTTTCAAATGAAAGGAAAACGCCTGAAGGAATGACAGATGGAAAGAAAGAAAAGAGGGGTGACGGAAAGGCCTCAGGCAACCTTTGACCCACAATGATTTCTGCTCCTTAAAGCTCTGCTCTGTGGAAAGTAGAGGAAACAGAGAGTCAGGGATTAACGTGGTAATTAGTCTTTATAACCATCTAAGAGTGCACTGATGTACAGCAGGAACTGACCCTGCACAAAGTTTGATTCAAAAAAGTTTCTTGTGTTTATTTTACCACCTTCTCAATATCACCAAAGTACAACTTTAAAGCATCAATCTTCTGTGTGAATATGGCTGCAGAGCATAATTATACCAGCAACCAAAACACAAAGAACTCTTCTCAGCATCTTCAGGTCATTATAGTCGAAATCCGTCCAAGAGTCAAACTACAATTACAGTATAGAAGAGTGGATGCCAAAGATTATTCACAAAAAATACCGTCTGCAGCAAATCACACAGTCTGTTGGCAGGAGCTGAGCGTAATGACAGATTTCAGTGTGTCAGATGTTCAACACCAGGAATAAGTGCAGTGTTGCCTATCTATTCTGCAGTGAGTCCATACGCTGTAAAACACACAACTGAACACATATGTGAGATATGAGAGTTTGCATTTTTCCAATACCATCAATAAAACAGCCAACTCTCTATATATCATCTAGTGGTCACTTTCATCCAGAGAGCCTTTCACTACCATGAATGCACACTTATTTAGCGTAAGTTTTCCCATTGGGATCTAAACGTCAAGCCCTGGCAGCGTTCCTGCTTTTGCTCGTATACCATAACAAAAGCTGTTGCATTCCTCCTGTATCCTGGAGCTCCAGCCATTCACAGAGGAAATATTAGTGCACACTGAAGCTAGTTAAAAGCTCAACAATTATACTATAGATACCCTTTGATTGTTCTTCTTTGTAACTGGTTTTACTACTGTCACACAGCTTTGGTTTGCATCAGTAAAAAAACCAGAACTTGTTTTCGCTTCGCACCTACAAGATCCTCGGTTCGTGTCCTAGTGAGGTCACCCGGGATCTTTCTGCATGGAGTTTGCATGTTCTCCCCGTGCAGTGTGGGTTCTCTCCGGGTTCTCCTGCTTCCTCCCACACTCTCCAAAAACATGTTGAGGTTAATTGGTGATTCTAAATTGTCCGTAGGTGTGAATGTGAGTGTGCTTGGTTGTCTGTCTCTAAGTGTAGCCCTGTGATAGACTGGCGACCTGTCCAGGGTGTCCCCTGCCTTCACCCTGAGTCAGCTGGGATAGACTCCAATGCCCCAGGACCCCAGTGAGGATTAAGCGGTGTATAGATAATGGATGGATGTTTTATTGATACCATGCACTGCATAAGCCTCTTAAAAAATAGAGCCAACATGTTCAATACTCCGGCAGCGAGTTAAAAATCTCTGAGGTGAGAAGCAGTGCAGTCTAAAAAGATTTGCTGTCAGAAACAAATGAGGCACCACCGCCCCTGGACAGCTGGACGTGTCTGGAAAACCTCCAGCGGAAGGCACCTTGTAGGCATCCTAATCAGGTTCCCGAACCCCCTCAGCTGGCTGTTTTCGATGTGAAGGAGCAGCGACTTTACCCTGTCAGAACTGCTTACCCTATCTCCAAGCCGAGTCCAGCCATCCTACAGAGGAAACTAATTCTGGCGACTTTCATTTCATTCTTTCAGTGAGGGGCTGGAACGTAGATCGACTTGTAAATCGAGAGCTTTGCCCTCTGGCTGAGCTGAGCAAACGGAATACTAAGAATTCTTGAAAAGTGTTTCTTAGAGTCTTCAATTTCAGGACTTTACTGCCGGCATTCTTTCAAGAGCCAAACCAGCACAAGTACAATATGGAACCATATATCCTTTTCATGAAGCACTTGTTGGATTAAGTACAAACTATACCGAACAGCCACACTTGAAAGTGGGCCATCGTAGGTGTCTGTTTGAATCCATCCTACACCCCACTCTCACTGTCCAAGAACTTTGTCTGAGGGTTTGAACCGCTACCCTCTAAAGACATGGAGGTGTCAGTGCTGGTAAATATAAAATAAATAAAAACCAAGATCAGCTACTTTCTTAGCTCTGCTCATCTGATCGATTGCGTCACAAAGTGGGCATTCTTGTTGGGTTGCCTTTCTTACTAATAAAACCACCATCAAATCAAATGTGGATGACAGTGTTGCAGAAGTGGTTTCAAATTGCATTTAAATGATTTGTCAGGAACTCAGCTGGAAGCAAACCAAGGCTCTGAGTTTACAACTTCATTTTACTGTTCTCAGTCCAATTTCTGTTTTTGCAATTTTGCATGTAAATTGCCAGGTTCTGCAATGCCCAATTACAAGTGAACTAGACCTTGCAAATGAATATAACACGCATTCCGAGTGTGACAGTTCTAACAACGTGCCATCCCTTCTGATTAGAAGTCATTTGATTTCAGTTTTAATCGTTGCATACTTGCATGTGCTGTTTTCTATAATTCGTCATTAGGAGCTGAATCCAATAAGCCCCGCTGTCACTCTGCCAGGCTCTCTCAGCATGATGAACTCCTTACTATTGGATGTCAACATCTATCTCCTCACAAGCATAAATCCATGTGTGCTATGCTTGTTTCCTGTACATCCTCCACCCCGCTCACTGAACACGTCCTGTGAGAGACGATGGAAACCTGCATTTATTAGAGCATTTCTCTGAACCTAAACTAAAGGAAAACAGGCCCCAGAGTGTAAATAAAGCACCCAAGCGCGTCTGGTGTGACCAAAAGCTTTGCATTAGACGAAATCCCTCTGGTCTGCACCCCACTTTTCAGGGTGGTCTCATGTTTGGAAAGTTAAAGGCTGTTTGCTCCCTCAAGGCTTGGTCCAGTTCCAAAATGTATTCTCTGGTGAAGGGTCCTTGAGAAATATGCTTTGTTCCCATTAGGACAGACACTGCCTCGGCCGCACACAAAGGCACAGCCATAAGGAATCAATAGGAAATAATAAAAAAATGTGTACCATGCTGCAACATCAAACAGATCTCTGCAGTGGAAGCCAATGGAGTAAGAGATGAACTGACAGCGGAGCGACGACGGAAACAAAACATTTTTTTCCAACTTTCGAAACAATGGGCGCTTTATTTTGGGCAGACGCCGTCACCAAAAGGATTCTTCTCATTATTTAGATAAGCTTACCGAGCTAAGCTAACGTTACCACCACAAGCTTGTTCAAACGCTATCTTCAACTAGCTTTCTAGTCTTTTCATTGGTCTCATTTTGATCCTGAAGCTGAAGGTTCCTGTAGCAGGATCACTTTAATTCAGTCTTATCTACAGCGCCAATCGTATCGCAAGATCTAGATATTAGAATACTGTATTGTAGAGAGAAACCCAATGATTCCAGTTAGGCAAGCTCTTAGCATCAGTGCTAAGCCTTAACTGTTGCAAAAACTTTTTAAAAAGTGGTGTGACTTGCTAATTGAAGAGACTCCCTTAAATGATGATGCTGAAAATGGTGGATGTGGTCTTGTTGTGTTTTGTTTCTGTTGCATCAAATTTGGGAAAGTTGCATTTAAGTTTCTAAGAACAACATCAGTGACGCTGATTCATTACAGATCTGATATTCAGACCAAAGTTGACAGATTTGAGTAGGTGTTAGTAAAAGTGTTTGTCAGATCTCACTCTGGCCCGCTAATGGCGACAAGAAGACTCACTGTATTTCAAAATCCACTCAAGTTTCTTTTATTCATAGAGCCCAAGGTAGCTGCTTTTGGCCTCACAGTTTTGCAGCTGTTACTGAATCTGAGGATGTTTTTTCAGGTGGATGTTGTCAAGACCTGTCTGGTTAAAATCAAGTTTCTTGCATTGTTAATGTTGATGTCCATATGGTGTGTTTTATATGCTGGAAGATATATCATGAGTGTAAAGAGCAGTCACGACCATGGCGGAGCCTTAAAACTGCAGCTCTCAAAAATACAGATTCAAACATTCAGGGTTTTATATCTAACAAACCAAAGGAATCAGTCTAGTAAGCTTGTGGGCCTTTTTCTATTCATATTCTTACATTTTTGCTCAGGAAAGTTTTTTGTTTTCATGGAAATAACTTCTTAATATGCAACACTGATACACAGAGACCAGAGAGTGAGTTTAAAAAATAGCCTCAGGCTCAGGTGGTTAAAAAAGAAAACCTGTAAAGGGGTTTTGAACATACACCTGACAGCTACATACATAATATAATATTGTTCCAGTCAAAGCACTCTCAGTAGTTTGAGATAAAGAAAATGAAGGAACAGCATTGTTCCTGTATTGCAGCGTTGTGCTAGTAGATTCTGCCATTTTCTTCATACACAGATTATTGTTCTTACAACATTAACACTCGTTCAACATGTGGAGAAACCCGATTCTTGACCGGCTGCTGCTGACTGAACAATACAAAGAGATAAACAACTAGTGCTTATCACAAATCAGTCTCTCGCTGTTTGTTGCTGCAGCGTGAGAATCAAACAGTGTCCATTTTTCAGACTTTTTGTTATCCTTCTACAGTGAGATATTGTATTTATATGTGCCTGTTTGTGTGTTTTCCACCTTGAAACATGTTTATTGACAGAAGCCAATACAACAGCTAGAATGCTCTGTAGTTACATGTTGGTGTCTGTTGCTTTCAGTCCAATCTGGCCTGAAGAGAGTGGCGTAATTGAATTACTCTTATATTAATATATCATTTCTCTGAGGCCAAACCCTTCCCGTATATTCCCTGCAGTGTAATACTGGCTGTACGCAGCAGCATATGCATTGTGTTTCGGTTTACCTGCAGTGACAACTGTAACCAAACCAGCACATATGGAGCCGGTTTGTCTCCCGTGAGCTACAGCTTGGCACGGCGAAGCAGCTTGTGAGACCAGATACCTCCTGAAATGCTTTATCCCACCATACATTATATCCAGCGGTGAATAGCTGGTGAGCTAATCTGACTACAAATACATCACACCTGAAATGCAGTCAGAGTCTCTCCCACATATGCAAATGAAAAACTCTCCTGTGAACAGAAACAGTGCCGCTCTGGCTGCTGCTTGCCAAGCAGCTCGCTGTGTGAATATGCACCGTTTGGAGTCGATTAGCAGACAAAGCTATTTGTTACATACAAAACAGTGGCTGGTAGTCTTTCTCTGCTGCGTTGGAGGGCAGTGAAAGCTCCGTCCACAATGCAAAGACCCACATGGAGGCGATTAGGAGATTTATTTTGGTACCACATGCTGGTGCTAAGCCCTTATCTCGTGGGTTTAAAAAAGAAGTTATCAAATTTAATGCACCGCAGGCCGCTTGCAGATTATTTCAGTGATGAGACTTGTATCTTTAGTGTACAATGGTTTCTTTTGTTTCTATGGTAAGATGAAGGGATGGCGAGCGTCTCTTCATGAACCAGCCTCCTGAGGCGGCAGAGTAAATTCCCTGCATAAAAGATGATCTTTAAAAACAGTTGCCAACAGGCAGCCTTGTTCATCTGTTAGCTAAAGAAAACATTTCTCTGACAAATCACCTCCACCACATTCCACACCACTTCCTCCACACTGTTTGGTTTTCTTCCCCTCAGACGGCATTGATTTCAGCGTCTCGGTGCTTCTGTGCACAGCGGTGGAGACTCACCCCAGGTTGAGCCTCTCTGTGTCTTTAGGAAAGGTTTTCGGTATGGAGCTGAGGTGTCTGAACGTACAGTGGACCTCTTTAACGGCCGGACAGCTGCAGCTCCGTGGGCAGGACGGGACGCCGTCGACTGGGGCGATCTGCAGGAGACGAGATGATGGAGGAGGAAAAGGTGGAAGTAAATCAAAGGAGGAGGTCAAGAACAAAAGAAGGAGAAGCGAGGAAGTATGAGGAAGCAGAGGGCATGGGAAGATTCAGAAATACAGAGATGAGATGAGGAAAGCAAACAGATGAGTTCAGACCTGTGTAGGAACTGACAGTCTGGAAATAAATCAACGCTAAGAGGAATAAATAGACTTAGGGCTTATATTCAATAGACCAGGTGTATTAAAACTGTGCCTGATGCCATCAAGCTTTCACAGACAAGATTTATGCACATGGGAGTTTCTTCAATGTGCATCCTGTCTACAAAAACCAGGTATATATTCACATAAACTTTAGCTTTTGACTGAAAATTAAATGGTTTTCCAATCAATCAGCACCCACAGCTCTGATGATTTAAGCAACCGACCACCGGCTTCTATAAAAAGTCGAGCGCTTCTGCAGCACAGGCTTACCGTTTGCCAGAGCAGTGATGAGAAGAGCAGCGGAAACCAGGCTGCAGCCGGCCTGCAGGTGATCCTGGCCAACCACCACAGCGCCATGACCGGACGGCCGACTGACCGCTCACGCCATGAACACACCTGCAGGAGAGGATGGACTGATTTAGACGAGCCAACAGAAAGATCTACTGCAGAGTTTTGCAACTTTACCTAATAAATAGTAAAGTTGCATTTGGTATAGTTTGCTATCGGTCCTCGTGTAAAATACTTGACGGTGATAAAGGAAATCATCCACTAGAGACCTGAGCACACCGCCATGACTCCTGCAAACGGTGTCCTGGAATAAGCTCCTGTTTGAACAAGATGAAGGGAGCGTTAAGAAGAATGATAATTAGGTTTCTGCATTGCTAAATAACTACCTTGAAGACCACATTATGTCCTCGGTGCATTTATCGACACAACACAAGTCCTTCATTAGACACAGGCAACCCCTAAAAACTAATCTTAATTCTCAATAATTTTAGAAAAAAACATGTTTCTTCCAGTAAGACAACAGTCTGACATAGCAGGAAATGTTTCCACTTTCAAAAAAAGTCCCCATTAGGAGGTTGGAGAGGTGGTGGAGTCACAAGTTAGGACTTATGATAAGGAAAAGGATACCGAGGTTTATGTCCAACGTGGCACCATTGGATTTAAATTTCATTTTCACTCAGTGTTTTGGTTCGGACACCTAAAACTGCTGTTCCTAGTTTGGTTTCTGATCCTTTCATGCCATGTTTGAAGCTTCTTCTTCTCATGAAAGCAATACAGTAAATGGTCAAGATATGGAAATTATAGTAAAGTATTGGTGATACATCACAAACGTAATCTGGGAGAAAATATGTTTCAGTCAAGACATAGCTGAAAATGCAGTTTAGGTGTGTAGGAATGAAATTTTAAGAAGACGGGATCGCACAGAAATCATTACAGTAGACCTGAACGGATATTTGGGCCTCTTCAGGGCAACAGAAACAATCAATAAATACAGGAACTGACACGTCATCACTTTATACAAACACTTTATTACAAGTTCAGCTCATGTAGACCAATTATAACACTCCAGATGTGGCATTTGGAGTTATGTTTGTGCCTTTTCACCCTTTTTTTGTCTCCTGCATCTCCTGAGAAAAAGCTGCAAACTGCTCCACTATATTCTCAATAGTCAAGTGCAAACATGCTGTTGCTGGAAATTCCAATGCCACCAACTAAAAGAGTTTAGATGTGCGCTGGTGTTGTGATCAGATTTTATCCTGGTTCTTTGTTGCACATGTAAATATCTTATCCTGGTTTTGACAGACCTGGTTTACTGAAATAGAAATCCAGGTTTCTGTTCATTCTCTGTTGGTTAGAAACACTGAGGTTAAGACAAAACTGCACACAGATGATCAGAAACTTGGATATACAATGATCACATACACAAGGACATGAATAACCAGGTTTTTCACATTACATTTAAACACTATATCCTGAATATGATCAAAACCTGGAGAGGATTTCAGACCTGGTTAGTAGAGCACATGTAAAAGCACTGGTGATATTAAACCAAAAAAGCAAAGTTTCAGGCCATAAATGAACGAAAAATATATTTAGAAACTCAGAGGAGCTAAAGAGAACTGTAGAGAATTGAAATTACTTTTCTAATAATTATATCCATATGGGCCAACATCTTGACCTATTCCATATCACCTTGTGTTTTATTTTATTGCACCAACACATATGCAGCCTTTTCATACCTGAGAAGCTTTTGGAACCGAACCAAACTGTTTCTCATTTTAGATTTCATTTTAAGCTTTGACTGGACATGATGAAAGAGAAAAAAAATGATCATAATATCTTGCAAAATGCGTCTCATTAGAAACCGTTTTAAACAAGCCCGAGCTGGTACAGCCACAGATGTTACAGTAGATTGGCAGAGAAAGAAAAAAAAGATAGTCTTTGCTGGGCGTTTGCAGGACTGAGAAATAAAGACAGAGCTGTGAGTAAATTCTCTACGAGTGAGTAAGTTACCGGCAGCCCTGTTAACGCCAAACTATTCGCCCTGAAGGTTGATAAAACACGTCAGAACATTTGTTTAAGCCCTGCCTGTCTTCAGTGCACCTTTCTTTGGGGAACCAAATCCTCTTTTATCCGTCAGAATCGTGTTCAAAACTATGTATGTTTGTAGCCACGCAATGGACGCATCACCTGTCTGCAGCACGGATTAATGTCTCACTTTCAAATAGAGCGAGATCGAATTCACCACAACACGACACAATAGACGCTGGAGTGGAAAATAACTACTGAACGCTGGCAGCTCATCAGTTGTGGTTTGCTGCGGTGCCAGGTGGTTCGGCGGCAATTACGACGGTTTAAATGTTAACATGCTCCTTTTAAGGGCGTCACATACCAATTACATGCAACCACATTCAGTGAAGCACACACACACACACACACAGTTTGGACTTCCTGATCTGACAAACACATTAACCTACATGGAGGTCAGTGTCGACTCACCCATAGTTCCAGCGGCAGCAGCTCAGATCTAATTAATTGACGACTGAAAGATTCTGTTCACATTATAATAAGTGAGAAAAATGTTTCGGGGGAGCTGAGAACATAATGGCTTTGCAAAACAGCACTTCAACCACTGGGATGAATTTCCTTTTGCAGAAAAATCACATGAATTTAACATGTGCAAAAACCTTAAAGCCAGAGAATTACCTGAAAACAATCAACTCTTACATACGTACAACCCTTTGCAGTCATCTTGCTGCTCCTGGAGCAGATACTACTTGAACCCTGACCTTCTGATCAGACTGCTAAACCACTGAGCCGAGGACAGAGGGAGATGCTTCGTGTGAAAGCAGGGAGGGTTGAATGTAAGCTTCACTGGACTCTGGCTCTCACCTGTAACTTTAACTTTAATGCCACAGGTTGCACATGTGATCCCACGGGTTCAACATGCAGGAATGCAGGTTTCACACTTAGGTTTCCCTCTAGTTCCTGCACTGTTTCAAGGAGTTTATGATGAAACTTAGAA